TATTGCTTTTCCTTCCTGCGTGTAGAGAAGTACTGATTTAAAAGATAAAAATGAGACAAGACTTTTAAAAAGTTACACTGTCGTGATATTGGCACTGATGACTGGCTGGATTACTAATTTATTTCACCTGCTTAGTTCTGCCCGTTTTCCCATTACTGTTCAGCGTATCCACCTGCTCCTGCTTCATTTAACCAGCCGGCTAACGGCTGGTTAATGAAGCAGCATCTTGTTGGCCGACCAGCTGGATCCTACCTTGTTCATTGTGCACGGACTAAGCTATGAAACCAGAAGTTCCTGCCTTAGACGACCTCGCTGTAAATGAAGATCTATTCAATTTAAATTAACGCTTTTGAATTTTTTGACCATCTGTCTTCCTTGAATACTGAGTCCCCTTTTCTGAGCCCTGACACTCAGAAAAGGAAAGTACCTTGACATAAACAAACAAAAACTTGACATAAACAAATAAAAAACAAACATTGAGTGACAAACCAAACTAAACATTCATAGCAAACGTAGAGAGCAGTGATCCTGAATGCAACCAAACGTTTGCTTGCAGCACCCGCCCATGTTGTTTACAAGAAAGTTTCCATGGCGTCTCAAACACTTTCGTGAAAAACAGTCCATTCAAAATTGCAATAAAATAAACAATAATTGACAATAATTGCTAAAACTACCACCTTTAAAGTTAAAATATTTTAAATGTATTTTTTCTACTGTGTAAAACAATTTAACAATGAATGAATGAATAAATTAATAAAAAACTTAAACTGGGTGAATTATTATTCATTTAATCCTTCCCTCCAATTACACTTTACCTCTGGTTTGGAACCACTGCACTAGTGAATTAACAATTATTTTGCTAATCGATTAATTCACTGATTATTTTTGCGATAATAATCGAAAAAGGTTCATTTAAAATTGAAATTGAAAAGGTTGTTAAAAGAAATATTTTTTACAGAATTAAACCAGGGGAAAAAAAATTTCTGGATACAACATATGGTCAGATGAAAACGTTTTTTTAATCTTAAATGAAAAATATTTATATATTTTCTGTTAACTTTGGTATAATCGCTGCTCTAAGTGGGCCTTTCTGTCAGCTAAAGGCATGTTTTAGAGTCTCTATATAGTTAACAATGAATCAATTACTAAATTAGTTGACGATTATTTCAATAATCAATCAACCACGATTAATCTAATGAATTGTTTCAGCCCTAAATAAAGCATCTAAAAACCTGGAAGGAAGCGCGTTGCCAGATATGATACTAGCAGGAAAGGGTTACATAATAAAAAGGGGCGACACAGGGACCAAGAAAAGGTTCAAGGAAATTGAAAGAAAAGAAATGATGGTTGCTGAATTAAGGCTCTGCCTGCAATTCCTACAAATGTCAGTTAGTTGAACTATTCACTGAACCTTTTAATGTGTTGCATTGTAATCCATCCGCCTTCATCTAAGTCTCCAGATTTACTCATAGCTGTTCTTGTTGTTGTCCGTTGCTTTCTGTTTGAGTAAAATCACCTGATCAGGATTTTTCTAGCACCTCACATTACAAAAGAGGCGATAAAGTGTGAATCATTGGTGCTGGGATCGTATCGGGTCAGAATCAGTATTGGTCGACACACAAAGTTGCGATATCGGTATCGCATTGAACTGAGAAAGCAGTATGGGGACCTCCTGAATAAAAACTTTACAAAAAGGAAAGAAATCTTTATTAACAAATCAAACAAAACATTAACCATGAAAGCAACAGCCATTCATGAGCTTCACATCATGTTAAAGTCACAGGGAAACTGCTGTTCCAAACGTTGCATTTCCGAATTCTCCCTAGTGGTGCACGACTTTACACGAGTGAATGAAGTGAATGTGATTGGTCGTTTATCAAGAGGGCGGGATTGTTGTGGAGGAAGGTTCACAAGCATGTTTAATGGTGGCCTGTTTGTCGGAAGCATCTTGCTAACCAGATAGCAACTTAGTGCTACTTGGTCCTAATGGGAAATTCCATTGGGACCAAGTAGCACTAAATTGGTGACTTAGAAACGACACTGTCAAGGAACGCTATGGACAGAGGAAACATGCAAGAGGAGGAGAGTTTAGTGTCGGAGGTCGTGGATGAGTCGTGGATGAGTCTCCTCCATCATATATTTTCTATTTAGAGGAGGAAAGCGGGGACGAAGTTGTTGTGGAAGAGGACACCAGGGCGGCAGAAGCTTGGTTTGGTGTAGAAGGCTTACAGCCGTATATGTTTGAGCCCTTGCCTCGCAACGCTGCCAGTTCTGTTAGCTCTACGCCTGCCGAAGACACAGACGTCCATCCCCGTGAACACTGGGACGGAACTCAATGGGAAAGGAACTAATTCTTATTTCAACCGTTGCGTATATTAGCTGCAACATATGAATCAAGATGCAATGACCGAAAAAATGTGATTGACAGATGACCGTTGATATATGATTGGCCGAATTTAGGTGTTCAGGCTGACGTATAACTAACTGGCCTGCATAAGATAACTGAAAAAACCCCACAGATTTTAAGGCATGAGGTTTTTCAAATTGAAATGTTCTAACTTTTGAGACAATATCGTCTGACAAAGAGTACATTTATATACATGTTTAAGCCAGAATGATTTGACATTTAAAAATGAAATCCCTAAGACTTTAAGGCCAGGCTAATCCACTGAATGCTAACAGAGAAAACTCAGATGGAATCGCAGAATTTAACAAATAAAATGGAACCTAGCACAAAACTCGGTAAAAGACAGAATGAAAGCGAGAAAGACGGACATTAAGCATAAAAAACCTGCGGCTTATAGTCCTGCGGCTTGTATATGTACAAATCATGCAATTTAACTTCTTATATTCTTATATATTCAGGTGTGGCTAATAGTCCGAAAATTACGGTAGAATGAAAAATTTAGAATAAACAAAAAAAAACAAAAAACAGATGCCATAGGGTCGTAGAATCGCTGAATGCATGCATGCTTCATTCACAGATAAAAAAATGCTAATATCAGCCTCTAAATATCAGTGGCCAATGTATCCTGAACCTTTCACCCAGAATGAGCCCCTTTGCCTGAACCAATATGGCGGCACTTTCATTAGTATTACTGTAAGCTGATATTCCTGCTGGACAGAAATGACACTTCAGGTCTTGAAGGCTCACTGCAGCCCACATCAGCTGTTACTGTTAATAATCACCCACACATCTACATCCTCATACAGTAGAGCAGCTTTCAAGGAAACTCTGGAAAAAGAAAACACCTCCTCCATTTAGGGGAGAATCTCTCTGCCACTGAAATTCACCCCAGACCAGTCTGAGTGGTGCAAACAATTCGCCAGCTCGCGCTGATTTGCAGAATCAGTGTGAAGAGAGAGAAAACAAACACATCCAGAAGGAAATATGAGAGATCTGACGTGTGGTTGTGATATTTTACAGTCTGACAGCAATCACAGGCAGCTCCTGTCAAAGCGGACTAAAGGAACCGCAGTTAATTTTTAAACATTCCTCCCCCTGTGCCTCCTGAGCTGATCTGACACCAGAGTAACAGGACACCACTACCGTGCCTCAAAGGACACCACCTGAGGACGAGCGGCGTGTCTCAGGTGGGTCGGATCAGTCGGACAAATCTGATCCGTCTGCAGGCTGGTGGAAACAAAAACAAGGTTTAGTTTCCTGGTGGCACAGGTCTGCTGAGGATTCACTGTCAGTTTCCTCTTTTTAAATAACTAGTTGTTGGTTTATACGCCGATGACACTCGGATACTAAATGCATCACGCCGCATAAACAAAAAAAACATTTCCATGACATCTTACCTTCACTTTCACGTACTCGAACTTCTCCTCATTCCCTCTGGTTAAAACCACAAACTGATGCATTTTACTGGGATTTTATGCAGCAGAAACCAATATAAAGAGGAGAATATTTGTAAAGAAAAAAGAGAATAAAATAAATGTCTTTAGGAATCACCTGTTATAGTGATCTCTGAAGGCTTCAGAGGTCTATAGGAGAACATTTGAGCCAAAACACCATCATGAAAACCAGAGAACATTAGAAAGACATATAGGGATGAAACAATTAATCCAATTAATCGATTATTTAAATAATAATCAACTAATTTAGTAGTTGGTTAATCATTAAATTGAGTATAGAGACTGCAAAACTTGCCTTTAGCTGAAAGAGTGACCCACTTAGAGCAGTAAATATAACATAATTAATAAAAAATATGTAAACATTTTGCATTTAAGATAAAAAAAAAAAAAACCTTTTCGTTGGTCAATATGCTCCAGAACTCCTCAAGTGGAAACATTTTATTTTCCCCTGGTTTAATTTTGTAAAAAAAAAACTTCTTTAAGGACAATTTTTCTGTTTGATTATTAATGGATTAATGGAAAAAATAACCTACAGATTAATCAATCTGCAAAATAATCGTTAGTTGCTGATGTAATGACATTTGAAGAAGGGTTCGGGCGTTTTTTTTATAATTCACAAACACTTCTCCATCCATCTGAAGGTAAGGAAAGGTTGAAAAAGAAAAGTATTTTTGGGAGACCAACTCTGATTCACCAAACACACAAAACGTACCAGACGAACCGCAAGGATGTGGAAGAAACTCAACATTTCAGTGTCTAAAATGCAACCAGTGAAGCACGGTGGTGGTGGCATCATGCTGTCTTTTCCTTCAGCAGGGACATTGGTGTAAGTCCTTTAAAAGCCATAGAGCGCCGACTACAAAACACCATCCCCACAGCAAAACACGGCGGTGGCAGCATTATGGTATGGGACCAACAGGGAAATCCGAACTGATGGTAAAATATCAGAAACCAATTGGAGGCTCACCCTGAACTTGCAGATGGAAGGATAATAGAAAATGACTTTAACTTCACTTGTTGTGTTGCTAAATGCAGGGATGGTTAAATGATTATTAGACATTTCAAAAGGTATAAATACACCAGTTTGACTCATTGATTCCTCGCATGAGAGCAGAAGCATAAAAAGTTGAAGAACTGACCTGCAGCTCGTTGTTATTGGCCATCATAGATGAATAATAACTGATGAGTCCAGTTCTCTTCAGCCCAGCTTATGGCTGTAGGATCATAGCAGGAATCTCCTGTTTAAATCCCTCAGATCTGCTTTTTATCTCTGATAAAATCATTAGAATAAAGAGCCGATCCTGATGAAGTGTCTGGATCCAAACCGTCTTGAACGCAGCGGCAGGTTGAGCGGCAGCATCACCTCCGAGCGGCGGGACTGGACGGGCTTAGTGCTGGGGGCCGCCTGCGGGGCTTCCTGCTCACCGCCGGGGAGAACAGGAGCCGGAAACCCGCCGGAACTCACCGGGACGCTCCGGTCTACGGTTCCCTGAAGCCATGTTATTCTGCCCCCCTCCTCCCCAGAGCTGCTTCTGCGGTGAGCTGGGAGCCGGTGATGCTGCAGGGAGCACGCGCGGCGGGGGGAGGAGTCAAAACCGACAGAATAAGCAACAACTTCCGGATCAGACCTCCAGAATAAAAGTATGATTACGATTGAGCTGTTTATAATACTGTAGATAGACTCATTAGAGTAATCCGTTTTAGTGAGATGACATCGGTGGCTTTATTTAAAATAAATATATAATTATCCTAAAAATAAAGAACAATCAGAAATATATAATAAGCGTAGAAAAGCTCTTATATTGAAAGGTAAGCGGATTGGGATCCTGGGATTCTTCACGCAGCTTGATGCAGTTGAAAATCCTCACTGCGGCAGCCGAGCGCCCCCTGCTGCCACCTGTTGATCATGTTTAATGTTGGGAAGAAAACACCTTTAAAGGAAGAAGTATGTGTGCCTGATGGGAAAGCAGTGAATGCTCAGAAGGGGCAAAGAGCTTTGAAGTTTGTATTTCTTTTTATAGATTTTGATTTATTTCAATGTGCTCAGAAAATTCCAGAGTTACACGATTTAAAATGTTTACTGTTGTTAAAAGTTCACAAAGCAGTGAACAAAAATATTTTAAGTTCAGGTTCAGAAACTCTGGCTGTTTTATGTTTTGTTTTGATAAAATGTTGATTATTTCATACCTTTTAAACATTTTTTCTTCCTTTAAAGACCAATAATTTTGTAATTCCTTGTTAAAAAAAACAACATAAAAACTTGTTAATTGAATGAATATATGTTTCAAAATGAATCTCTAATCCTTCCATGGTGCTGTAAGCAAAATCTGAATTTTGGGCCTTCTATTCCTGCCAATATGGTGGATTCTTGTAATTAACACTCAACAGATCAATCATCTACAATAAACACATGGCAGCTCTGGTAGTGCTTTTTCCTTTGCACCATCTAGTGCTATTAAAGGTGATAATTAGAAGCAGTTTATGTTCAGGAGAAATGCAAAATAAAACAAACCAACAAATGCAATGGCTTTGAAAAATAAGAAATAAATAATCCAAAAACAAATCAAACAATAACATATCAACACTGTTCTTAACTAATGGAAATAAAATGCTACATGAAACCAGGTGGAAAATTAAATGAAATTTAAAGTTGAATAACTTGATCTTAAAACTTTTTAAATGTGTGTAACCCAATAGAAAACATAATCGACCTGTAACTAAATATGATTATTAGATGTTAAACTGATCTTTTTCTACAAACTGAAAGTATTACTGTAAGAGATCGGATTACCAACTAGGATGTTATTATTAATCAATTCAATTCAGTTTATTTCTATAGCGCCAATTCACAACACACGTCATCTCAAGGCACTTTATAATTCAACCAGATCATCCAGTCAAATTGATTCAAAGTTTTCTATCTATGGAAAACCAGTTGATTGCATCGACTCATTGACTCGAATGCTATCTCTCACACTAAGCATGCTTGTAGCGACAGTGGAGAGGAAAACCTCCCTTTTAACAGGAAGAAACCTTCAGCAGAACCAGGCTCAGTGTGAGGGGCCATCTGCTGAGGCTGAATCACTGTTTTCTTATTCTTCTGCCATGGGAGTTTTCAGAAAAACTCTGCTCTGCAACATTTGAAGGGAG